TAACACAGACATTACTTTCAGATCTTTGATGTCTTGAATGTTTGGCATGTAGTTCATTTCTCTGCTTCTAATTGGATTGAATTCTATTGCAGCCCATTCCTCCATGTATCAGCCACAAGGAATCTATGCAAATATTTGAAGAACATCGAGCTGTAAGTCATCTAAACTTTGAATGATTTCTTGAACTACACAAGTTGGTAACTGTTTGGGCTTGGAGGGAATAATGTTATCTATCATCATGTTCTTGAAGCCTGTTATTAGTCTCTCTGGTCTAAAGTTTTGTAATTACTCTTTAGTTCTACCAAAGAATTTCATTTTTATGTCTGATTTATATTTTTACTCTGAAAAATTAGCTTTTAAGAAAATAAGTTCTTGAGAATGTCTTCATTATGTCTTTTTCTTTGTTGACCTACTTGTTTTGGTGTTGACAAGTATAAGCTGCTTACTAATATTTTGTGAATCAAAGTAGTTGTTTATGTCCTATGTGTCTCCTCATTATGTTCTATGTGTCTCCTCATTATGTTCTATGTGTCTCCTCATTATGTTCTATGTGTCTCCTCTTTATGTTCTATGTGTCTTCTTATTATGTTCTATGTGTCTCCTCAGTTGGCTCAGCAATACTTAAGAATGCAAGCTGAGATTGCTGTCTTGACACAAAGAAAGTAAGATTTCATTAATATTTTTAAGTCTAGTTAAGAAAGCACAGCTATAGTTGTTTTTTTTTAGCAGCCCCCAAAAGGGGGAAAGGTGCTATTAGTGTTGTGTGGTATGTCTGTACGTCCGTCTGTTCATCCATCCCGTTTAGATCTCGTAAACTAGAAAAGATAGGGAAAATCCAACATCATAATATTTTAGACCATTTAAAGTTCTGATGCAACAGCTACTTTTTTTCTTTTCTGAAAGCGAAAAATCTAATTCTTAAAATCAAGTATGCAAGCAGTTTTTTCATAAAAATACACCATTTTTACAACTATTCACTATTAATAGTAACAAACACTGGAGGCTATTTTCTTCTCTGTCATTTGCCTTTGATAGAATTTCATTCTAATACTCTTTCTGAAAATATGGAAACCTGCCTAGGTGGACCACTTTGGGGCCCATTTTGAGTTTTTGTTTCCACACAAACTGTCTTTGTAACCTTGTTTTGTTTGCCATTTAGATAACTTCATTAGAAATAAATATATGTTTCTATTGACAAATGTGTATGTCTACATGAAAATGTTCTAAATATGTATGTCTGCATTAAAATGTTGTAAATGTGTATGGTCTATATGAAAGAGGATTCTTCAAACTTTGTGTCTATACCAAAGTAACCTTGAAATGTATCTACCTGCTATGGCCTCCATAATTTTTGTAAGCCAAAGCATTCTTGTGTTCCTCTAACTAGTTCTAACTAGAGTTCTCTTCTCCTGGCAGACATGAGTTAAAGAAAGAAAGACAACACCAAGAAGAAAGAAGTTTACACAACAGATCTCACTTGGCAGATGTTGAAGAATACACAAAACTGATGGCTGAAAACGTGAGTCAAGTTGCTAGAAGACGTCTGTTCACTAGTCAAATAAAAGTGTTTTTTTTTCCCTTGTATTCTACAGAAATGTACACACTCAAGTTTGAGCTGTCTCTTTGTATTCTACAGAAATGTATACACTCAAGTTTGAGCTGTCTCTTTGTATTATACAGAAATGTACACACTCAAGTTTGAGCTGTCTCTTTGTATTCTACAGAAATGTACACACTCAAATTTGAGCTGTCTCTTTGTATTCTACAGAAATGTACACACTCAAGTTTGAGCTGTCTCTTTGTATTCTACAGAAATGTCTCAACTTTGTTTCTTTGTTCTCCTCCTCAGGAAAGTTTGTTAAGTGTTCATCGAGATTTAAAAGCTCAAGTAGAGATGTATAGAAAACAGGCTGGAACCAAGCGTATAGGATGATGACAGAATGATTAGAGGAGAGGACTGTATAGTGTGGGACCAGAGTAGAACAACTAACACAGACTTGGATGAAGAGATTTAATTGGTAGAGGAAAAAAGTAGCCAGTGGCTGTCATTGGCTAAGTTTGTTATTTTCAGTGACAATAAAACTGCTAGAGTTATGGGCTAAATTAGAATTTTCACTGAAATCTGAACCCACTGAATGGAAAGAATTAATCTTGGTATTTAGTGTATTTACATTATAGAAAGTGGCTTTCATTGTTTTCTGGCTTTTTGTTCCTAGAAATTAATTGCTGCCCAATGAATGGCTACATAGTAACAATTTTAGGATCCATTGTAGATGAAACTTTCATAATGTATATTTGAAGCAATGCAATTAATGTGGAACCAATGTCAAATGACCCAGTTCATTGTTTATAGGAATACCATCTTCTCCTGGCTCTTGCCTATTCTCAAGCTTATCAAAGACTCATGGTAGGTCTGGTAAGTTGGACAGAGTGGACTGGGAGAAAACCTTTTCAATCTGATTGAGTTTGATCTAGACTCATCATTCCATTGCAACAAGCAGTCTCTCACTACTATGCAGACTTGAACTAGCAGGCACACTTGTTGGTATGTGGTCTATCAGCTTTTCTCATGTCTCTTTATGTTTTACCTATCAGCACACGACAGGATACATTGACAGAGGTCCTGACAATTTTGTTTTGGCACATTGTCTGGCCAGTTGTTTGGGTAGTACTTCTTGTTTAATTTGGGCTCTTATATTTTAGAAAGGCTTCTCTCTGGCAGTTTTCAATTCTGGTACACTTGCCAACCCTCTTTTTTTTTTCTATTAGCAAGGACTTAAGATGAAGTTTGGTAGATAGCATCACATTTAAACTTTTCTCATCATTCAGTCTGTTGAAGACCATGTCCAGTTGTTTATTTTTGTTTTTATTCAGTGTGGAGATTGGGATTAGCTGTGCATAAGTTTCTGAAAAATCTGGGATGTGCAGATTTTAGTGTCTTATCTGTCACAGTCAGTACTTTAATAGCTGCATGTAAGCAGTATGTTGCCTATCTCACTTGTCATTGAGTGCAAATGCCCAGACTTAGGATGTCTCCATGAGACATGGTGTTGTGGCTTTCTCTTAAAATACATAATATTGATGCAGAGTTTGTGGTACTTGTGAAATTCAAGCAGTATTTGGCCACTCTCGATCATCATCCCAATGATGAAAAGTCTTCAATAAAGTCTGGCCAAGTGATTCTGGCATTGAGGTTTCTTAGAAGCATCAAATGCTTGTTTTGGGGTACGTTTCTCTCAAGTGTGGACAGTATAGAAGCACTACTTTCCATTCAACAGTAACACCTATGGGTGATGAACGCATGCCAAAGGTGATTTTTTCTGCAGAGCTTAAAGGAGCCCCCTTAAAATGCTATAAAGATCAAATCAGGTCCCATTTTGTCCTCACCAGCAGATGGCCTCTGAAAGAGCAGCGGGAGAGCTCTAGTGAAACAAAGTAGGGCCTTTGCCTTAGACAAATTAAGACCTTCCCCACCCTCCAGATCTTCGACTTTGCATTAGAGGTGTCAAAATATGCAGGTCGCATCTGGGTTTGCATGGTTTTGTGGAATACTGCACACGTCCTTAATCTTTCAAACCAAAGACCTTATGTCCTGTTGAAGTGAACATAGAGTGGGGCATAGTCACTGAGTAAGGTGACTTTCTGTTGTGTTATTTTGATGCCAATAATAAATGAACATTTTGACCTGCCACTAAGAGGGACTGTGATGACAACTGTTCCTGATAGCCTACGCCATGTAGTCACCTCTCCTTATAGGATTTCTAACTTAGGTTTAGTCTGTCTTGTAGAGATGCCATGAGTGGCTGTGTTTCCCATAGAGCTGCTATGTCTATGTGCAATCTTTTCACCTCTTTAAAACTGTTTTTTGTTGAAAAAAAGTCACAGACCAGAACAAATTGTACTGAAAATCCAGGTTGTCTTTTTTCCTGTTCCTTTTCTTGTTTGGTGCAAGTTTTTAGTGCACTTGTCAATTTCATTAGAGCTTAAGCACCCATTAGAGCAGGCAACTGTGTTGTGGTTGCCTAGGTTGAGGCTGTAGTTGATCAGTGATGCGCAAAGAACTTTTCTATCATCAGGCATCTTGAGGCATCCATACAACAGGCTAATCAAGTTGGACCCATATTGTTGTCTCCCTTGTTGCTTTAGCAGTTTCTTCTCAGAGAAACATTTTCTCTTAAATGAAGGGATCATGAGTTGCCAGTGTGCCATGAAGGGATCATGAGTTGCCAGTGTGCCATGAAGGGATCATGAGTTGCCAGTGTGCCATGAAGGGATCATGAGTTGCCAGTGTGCCATGAAGGGATCATGAGTTGCTAGTGTGCCATGGTTTCTCTCTCAATCTTGATGAGGTGAAGGAATCTTACACATTACATTTGGTACCAACTCTATTGCAGTATTATAGTTAATTATCCCAATCTGGATTTTCCTTGAGGGATAAACTTCATCTGCCTCAAACTCCCAATTTTAATTTCTCTGTCACTAATAGGCACAAGTAGATCATGTGCTAGACTTTGTTGTCAGAGTTGGGGAGTATAATATAGCTTATCTGACACCCCCTGGCTTTGACAACATCTGAAAGCCTAAAGCCATCTGTTTACCAGCACTCTAGATGTATGTTGAATGAGACCAATCAAAAAGTGTCTGCTAACTGATGTATAGTGAGGTTCATCTTTGCCTTTGTATTGCACCAAGGTGTCTATATGTGTATGAACTATTAGCATTTTAAACACATTTTTCAAAAAAATGGAACTAGACCCATGTTATGGTATTTTTATGCTTTTTTTTTAATGTAGGTCTTTACTTATTTAACAAATGTAAAAGTATGTATACATTTCTGTTGAGAAGTTGTGAAACCTACAAAACTAACAACTTATTCATTAAATGTTACTAGATTATATACATACTAAATTTCAAGCATCTTTTTTTTTATTCACTAGTGATATCTTTCTTTTTCAGTCTTTAGACTGGGATATAGAAACTATCACATAGAACTATCACATAGAACTATCACATAGAACTATCACTATTCTAATTCAAATTTCTATTTTAATAAATAAAACAAGAAAAAGGTAAAAAATACTTATTTTGAAAAAGACAATACCTATTTAGACAACTTAGAGAGTGAGAACAAATCCTGGTGACATGAATGTATAGATCTACTGCATCTAAACCTTGTAATATTCCAATGATAGGCCTTTAGATTTAGACTTGGACAATGCGCAAAATGTTCCTGAACATTATTAAACTATTGAATAAATGTTCACGTTTTCCTAAAAGTTTTGGCAAAGGTACAAGTTGAATAGAGGTATTGCCTAAAAATTGAATACCAAATATTGCCACCAAATTGGTTTTGTTTTGTCTTGGCATTTATATACATATATATTTTTTTTTAATTTGTATTTTGTATATACCATTTTAAACAGGCTTTTTGAGACATTAGTTTACTAACAAATCTTCTGTGAAAAAACCAACTCACTGTGAGATTGTTTCAATAATTTTAAAGTTGTTTATCCACTACCTTCTGCCATTGACCTTATACAAAATATGAAATGAGCTACATTGACAAACTGTCTATAGCCAAGACAAAAAGTATTTAAAGCCTAACGAATGAAATTGTTCAGTTGGAGATTTTGTACTTTAGAAGGCAGAGGGAAGAGAGAGAGAGCAGACTACAGGAAATGTCCTTGCCATATTTCTATTTATAGCTGATTGTTTTGTTCATTGCTTATTTTTGTATTCTGCAGTTGACAAATAAACAAAACTGTTGATTTCAATGTATTGAATACATGATTGTTTTTGTAGGGATTCGTAAACTTTGTTGTGGGCTTATCTAATCTGACTTCACTTCTATAATCCTAATTACTTCACATTAGCCACACATTGGGAAACAGAAAACAATTATTTTTTTTAGGTTGAACAAGTCCCTGAGTGGTTAAACATTCATCAGGTCACTGTTGGAAGGGATAGAGCCTTGGATAATGCCCCCACTATGTGTATATAGTTCTGAGTGGTTGAACATTCATCAGGTCACTGTTGGAAGGGATAGAGCCTTGGATAATGCCCGAACTATGTGTATGTAGTTCTGAGTGGTTGAACATTCATCAGGTCAATGTTGGAAGGGATAGAGCCTTGGATAATGCCCGAACTATGTGTATGTAGTTCTGAGTGGTTGAACATTCATCAGGTCACTGTTGGAAGGGATAGAGCCTTGGATAATGCCCTCCCCCTATGTGTATATAGTTCTGAGTGGTTGAACATTCATCAGGTCACTGTTGGAAGGGATAGAGCCTTGGATAATGCCCGAACTATGTGTATGTAGTTCTGAGTGGTTGAACATTCATCAGGTCACTGTTGGAAGGGATAGAGCCTTGGATAATGCCCGAACTATGTGTATGTAGTTCTGAGTGGTTGAACATTCATCAGGTCAATGTTGGAAGGGATAGAGCCTTGGATAATGCCCTCCCCCTATGTGTATATAGTTCTGAGTGGTTGAACATTCATCAGGTCACTGTTGGAAGGGATAGAGCCTTGGATAATGCCCGAACTATGTGTATGTAGTTCTGAGTGGTTGAACATTCATCAGGTCACTGTTGGAAGGGATAGAGCCTTGGATAATGCCCTCCCCCTATGTCTATATAGTTCTGAGTGGTTGAACATTCATCAGGTCACTGTTGGAAGGGATAGAGCCTTGGATAATGCCCGAACTATGTGTATGTAGTTCTGAGTGGTTGAACATTCATCAGGTCACTGTTGGAAGGAATAGAGCCTTGGATAATGCCCTCCCCCTATGTGTATATAGTTCTGAGTGGTTGAACATTCATCAGGTCACTGTTGGAAGGGATAGAGCCTTGGATAATGCCCCCACTACGTGTATATAGTTCTGAGTGGTTGAACATTCATGAGGTCACTGTTGGAAGGGATAGAGCCTTGGATAATGCCCGAACTATGTGTATGTAGTTCTGAGTGGTTGAACATTCATCAGGTCACTGTTGGAAGGGATAGAGCCTTGGATAATGCCCGAACTATGTGTATGTAGTTCTGAGTGGTTGAACATTCATCAGGTCACTGTTGGAAGGGATAGAGCCTTGGATAATGCCCGAACTATGTGTATGTAGTTCTGAGTGGTTGAACATTCATCAGGTCACTGTTGGAAGGGATAGAGCCTTGGATAATGCCCTCCCCCTATGTGTATATAGTTCTGAGTGGTTGAACATTCATCAGGTCACTGTTGGAAGGGATAGAGCCTTGGATAATGCCCCCACTACGTGTATATAGTTCTGAGTGGTTGAACATTCATCAGGTCACTGTTGAAAGGGATAGAGCCTTGGATAATGCCCCCACTATGTGTATTTAGTTCTGAGTGGTTGAACATTCATCAGGTCACTGTTGGAAGGGATAGAGCCTTGGATAATGCCCCCACTATGTGTATATAGTTTTGCTTATTTCATTGATTCTTCTGTACCTTGAAGAAGGTAAAAGGCACAAAGTGGCTGATTAGTAAGGTGCTTGACTTCCATACACAGGGGTCCTAGTAAAAGATTGGGATTTTTAATTTCTGGATCCTTAAAAATTTAATTGTGGCTTCATATAGCGCTACTTTCATGCTTATTGCATGCTCAGAGCGCTTTGGTCTAATCTCAGTTGGGGGGCGGTTGGAGTATCTAGGAGAAGGTTTTTGCTGCCTTCAGGCGCTCAGTAAACACAACTCTGCCCGAGTCGGGTGTCAAACCTCGAGCCCCCTTCATAGGTAGCCAAGCCAAGTGCACTTAGCCTCTCAACCTCTCATTTGGAGTAGTGTGCTTCCAAGTCCACACAGCTCTAATGGGTACCTGACATTAGTTGGGGAAAAGTTAAGTCAGTTGGTCGTTTGGCTGCCACAGAAACTGATGAGCTAAAGATTGTAAGGTTTAAAGGGGAACTCTTTCTGGACCTTGAAAGTTTTCCTTGAAAATCATTATTAAAATTGGCTGAATCCTTTCTCCCTGGTGATGTCCCCTACTCTGTACATTCTTCATGTCTTATCATGGGTTCAGTTATAAATCTGTTCCTTACTTGGCCTATCTCTAGTCTTGTCATACAACAAAGAAGGCGGCCATACTTGATCAAATGTTGAAGCTCAATAAAGACTAAATGGAAGCTGTGCAATAAGATAGGGATTGTGCAAAATAAATTTGCCTGTGGTACACCATTAACTTAATGAGCAAACTCCAAGCTGTTCTGTTCTCATGATTAATTCTAGATATTTTGGACTTGTACAGGTGTGTTGATTCTCTTCTAATGGTTTCTATTCTGTCATGTACACACATGGAAAATCAATCAATCAATGAATAAATCTTAGCAAAACAGAACTTGACTTAGCAATGTATCAGTGTGTGTGTGTGACAAAATAGGTTTTGTCTTTTATCCATGTACAATACTGCACTCTTCATCATGTAGGAATATGACTGTCAAATAAAACAAACACAATGAAGCAGCATTAAAAAAACATTTATTTCATACTGAACTTTTTGTTGTAGGTAAAATGTGGTATGTTAGGACAACAGTTTCAAAAAATAAATGTCCAGAAGTGAATAAAATTTTTTTTTTCCAATTCCGAGACATTACAAGGAGAGATATCAAAGTAAAACAGCCAAAAGTAAATACAATAAAAAGCCATGGTCCTGACACTAAAGGTTAGCCAAAATGTAGCAATCTATTTCTTTTAAAACCCACCCTAGGTGTTTAATATTAATTTTAACATAAATAGTGAGGCTGTTTTACTTTTACTTACAAATACAAGAATACAAAATAAATACAGATATGGTCAAAAGTAGAAGCAATACATTGGAGCAAGAAATTGCAAAAATAAAGTGCATAGAGTCAAAGACAAAAGATGACGAACAGAACATCCACTGCTTGATGTCAAGAAGTCAACTAAAATTGTTTCCTAACAGAGCATCCACTGCTTGATGTCAAGAAGTCAACTAAAATTGTTTCCTAACAGAGCATCCACTGCTTGATGTCAAGAAGTCAACTAAAATTGTTTCCTAACAGAATGCTATTCACTAAGACAGGCTGAGTTCCTTTAGCCATGAAACAAACCAAAAGTTGACAGAATAGAATTAGTTAGTGAGCAAATTAGACTAAATCTACTTCATTCTTCTATTGACTTCAACTGGTTCAAGAGATTTGAAATCTCTATTTTATATTTTTTGTTGCAGGGAGCCATGTGGTTTCTCAACAATGACATTGAAATCTTTGGTGGAAACAACACACACACAAGTCAATAACAAACAAAAAAATGTTCATAAAAAATACAAGGATAAAATGTCAAGTTTTGAATAGATTTTAAGAAATGTCTTATTTTTTACTTGAGCAGGTGGCCATTTTTTTTTAGGCGTAAAACTGCAATCTGGTTTAAGTGACTTTAACTTTCTGGTCATCTGAATGACTTCAAATTTGAACAGGAAAATAAAGAACAGCTTTTCTTAAAGTTCTTCCTTCATTTATCACAGAATCATTCTGAGAGTCCCAGCAACTAAATACTGGTCATATTCTCTGTACAGAGTTAGTACAGACATGAAGGACTCTTTGCTCATTCAAGAAATGGTCTAAGTGTAGCATGTAGACTGGCCCAGGATTCACTAAGACAAGAACAAAAGTTGAATACATTTCAAATCTATTTATTCCCCATTCAAATAAAATCATAGAAATATAAAGAACTGATTGTCCTGTATAATAAAGCTCAAATATTATAACAAATTCTTTTATTTTGATTCTGGTACTTACAGCTACAAGTTAGCCAATAAGATTTTAACATAAATTTTAAGCTTTAAATAGTTTTGGTCTCAATGCTATCCCCAAAAATGTTTAGTTGAATTTTAACAAATGAAAACAGAAATTAGTACCATGGATGAGTTCACTTGCATGGAATGGCTTAATCACAGCACGGGAATTATGGTAATAGCATGCACACAAAATATAATTTCTAAATAATTACTGAACTACCACACCACCTGAACATTCAAATCTCAGACCACAGCCACCAATAATGGTCAAATAGTGAAAGAAATCAAACAAGGTCAGAGCATTGAAGCCAAAATAAAATGCAATAAACTTAATGTGAAAGGAAAGAGGTCCTAAGCTGGCTAGACTGTACTCTAAACAGTGTCATCCAATCAATTTAATCCAATGAAAGTCAAATAGTGAAAGAAAGAAATCAAACAAGGTAAGAGCATTGAAGCCAAAAAAAATGCATTAATCTCAATGTGATAGGAAATAGGTCTTAAGCTGGCTAGAATGTGTCAACTAATCAATTTAATCCCTTTGATCAGAGAAATGAAACATGAGCAATGGAGTCTAGCAACTGAGTTGATCTCTCCATTGAGCAGATGTGTCTCTTGAAGCTGCATCAAGTTTTGGAATGGTTGAAGAAAACATAAATAAATGTTCAGTCCATACACACACACTTCAACAAACACTCCCACAAAGTGGAAATATGCCTTCCACCCATTGATTAGAATTTGGCAACACATTTTGAAAAGCTTACTGAAACTTTGATTTTTGTTTCACAATGAGACTTGAATGTTTTCAATGTGATTTTGATTTGACCACAAGTGGATTGAATGCTATTTTGACTGATCAACATCAACGTTGACTCAATTTGATATTTTTAATTCATTTACAACAATGTTGGCCCATGCGGACAATCAAATGCTGTTCCTAAAGCTAACTAGTGTTCAAGAATCAGGCTATAGAAAATAAAAGCTGGTTCCTTCTACTAGATGTGGTCATTT